TTGTAACGAAAGATATGATGCTGGATTAAGTACGAATCCAACGATCACTTCTCACTCACAAAATAAGAGAACGGACGTTCGTAACTTAACTTTTTATTAAGATTCGTACGACGTAATATTTTAAAATAGGTAAGATATTTTCTCTCTTAAAACCACGTGGTGCCTAAGATTGGATGTAGTGTGTATTTGTTGTGTTAATATCGTAGAAATAGTTGTTAAAATGAAATGAAATAAACTTTATTCAATTAGACTTATTACAAGTACTTTTGAAACTTGAAAAGTGTTAATTTGAAAAGTGGTGGTGGCTATCAGAAGTGGGTGGTGGCTGCAAATGTAATCCCGCGAAAATATTGTCCTAAATTTAAAAGCATTGAAAATAAGATCCAATTATTATAATACTTTCTTTTTACGTGAGTATTTGACATTTTAAATAAAACTATCTTTACGGATTTTTTCATGGATTTATTTTGATATTTGGTTTAGTTTCAAGATAGATTAATAAAGTTTTCTAAAAAAAATTGTAAAAATAATAATTGTTATTATAATAATAGATAAAATTAAATTAATTCCATATTCAATTATAAAACTTGTTAAAATTAATTAATTTATTAATCAGTTTAACATTAAAATTAAGAGATATTAAGAGGTAAGGTACTTTGGTGCCATTTTTGAATTTTTGAATTAATTTTGTTATTTTGGGCAGGCATTGTCTGTAACAACTAATGCCTTGAAGAAATCTTAAACCTTAGTCTCTCCGTCCGTGACCAAGATTACTGTAAAGCATTCGAAACATCGGGAAAATATTTTTCGAAAAAAAAAAAACGAAAAGAGAGTTTTATTTAAAACCCAAGTTATTAATTACAGTAATAAGTGTTCTAATAATAATTAATACTGTAATAATTAATGTTGAATCATTTTCATAATTTGTTGTATCTCTCCCATCAGCAATTTTTTGATTTGTTTTGTGTTGCTTTAATTATTCAATATAATAAATAGTGCATAGTAAATATGTATTTATTGACATGTTAAACGCTAGCGTAAACGTTGTGATACTCAAAGTATAAACCCTTCTTTTACCAGATGGAAGTAGCCTTTTGTCAAATTACCTAATGCTATTTTTTTTAATTATAAACCCTATTTATCCGTATCAAAGAATAATAACCTGAAGAAGCTTACAGGTAATATTTTTAAATTAATTTATTCATAATTACGGTGGCTACTTAAATACAAATATAATATTTATTTTAACGACCTTATTCAATTTGGCAACGCTTTATCTTAATGTGTGCGTCAATGTGCTAATATAATTGAGCAATATTTTTGAGGTTCCTTAATTCAAAATTAAGAAGACCTTTAATTGTTTTTAGGGTTCCTTAGCCAAACGGCAAAAACTTTCTTTACTCCATTTTTTATGGAGTTCCCACCTCTTAGACAATAAAAACAAAAGGCTAACATTTTTTTTGAGGTTATACTTCTATTGGCGTGTTCGGGAAAAAATGATGAGAATTACTTTTTTACTATGCGATAGATTTAGACTACAGTATGAAGTTAGTTGGTAAATCTCCTTTTAGTATAGTGTGATGTCTAGATATTAAATATTAAGTATTATTATATTCAAGATATTTATTCCGGTATTTCTATACATATGACACAACACTTGCTATATATCGATAACAATTATAAAAATACAAGCTTTTATTTAGTTTGACATGTCCCGCTATCTGTCTGTAATCAAATCTTGCAAGGCTAAACTTGACCCACTTCCCAGTGTCCGATTGAGTTGAAATTTGACACACACGTTTTGTTCTCTTGACTGCATTACCTAAATAATACGGTTTTTATTCCAATATAGCAGACGTTACAAAATGGCGACTTTGCATTTCCATAATGACCCTTATTATATGGGTATCTAATGAAAGGGCTTGATGTTCGAAACATAATGAGCAAATTGACGTCGTTGTAAATCTAATATGACGAACTTCCAAAGATAGCGGACTATGTTTTAATATGCACTCCCTTGATATGGATATCAAATGAAAGGGTATGCTAAAAAAAAGAATTAATAAATAAAAAATACAAAAAAAAACTTTTATGTAAATGCTCTAAAAAAACAAAGAAGTTTAACTTCTTACACGTACATAAGTACACACACACTTTACACTTTTTTTAAATTAATTTTTGTCGACGTATATTTGCTTTACGCAATTTTAAACGATATGGTGATGTATTAAAAGGTAATAAAATTTTAAGTTTGGATCAGTTTCACACATTGTTAAATAGCGGGGCTTCGAGAAAAACTAACTTGTTAGTGTCATAAATATAGTAGATAAAAGGTAGATAGATAACATTTTAATTGTTTTTTGGGTAAAAAATCCACTAAAATAAAATTTAATCCCACGGAATCCTTGATTTTTTATAATCATTTGTCATAATATGTTTGAACATATAATATATTAAATAAATGGTAATTAGTCTTAAAAATAACGACCGACTCTCAAGTTCGCCGAGGTCATTAGAGGAAGACCTCGTAAATTCGCCCGCGTTTATACTTTCTTTTGCTACCAAGCTTTACAGGATCACCCGCTGGGCTAATCTGAAGATTGCCTGAAAATTTCATCAAAATCGTTCAAGCCGTTTTGAAGAACATAGCAAACATACATATGTACACACGTTTTGAACCGCTTTAGATATATACGAGTATATTACATACTATAGTAGTTTGTTTTGTTTTCTTCTACAATTATAGCAACAGGTAAGCTTTTTACTTCAGGTTATGTTTTTAAGCTAGAATAAAAGTAATGGAACATTAGATACAGAATAAAGTAATATATTTCAAATTATATTCAAAACAGTTCCCATTTTTTACTCATTATATGGTTCACGGTCAACTTATTTAATACTACTCAATATTTATATATTATTATTATATTAAGCAAATCTAATTAACATTACGGAAATAGCAGTGCAAAACTGTTAAGCAAATTCAGTGTGTAAACCTCTATCTTTATATTATGTTTACGTTTGGCTCAGTTTGTAGTGACTTCACTTGCTGTGCTAGCGGTTCGGGTTCGAATCCCGGTGGGGATTATTTGTTTATTTGTATGATGAGCACGTATGTTTCTACTCCAGTCATTGATGTTTATATTTATAATATGTATTTATTTAAAGTTATATACATATATGTAGTGTATCAACTATCTGGTATCCATAACACAAGCCTCGTAGCTTACCATGGAACTAAATAGATGATTCTGTTTGTTAATGTCTCAACATATTTACATTGTTTCCATGAAATTTATGTATATTTGATTTATTACTATTATTATTTTTTTGATTTTTGAATTTTAATTTAACTATATTCTATGCGACTATCTATTAATATGTAAATAGGCAAAGATAAAACCATTCAGTATCTTTTTCTCCTTCTATTGGTCAACCAATTTTCTTTCTTTTTTGTTTAATAGCTATTGACGAGTTTTATAGTGTTATCCATAAAAAAATGATTATGGCCGAATTTCCGACATTAGGCGAACAGCACTTTGATTAAACTACGTAGCTATTAAATCACGCGAACTACGTCAACGCGAAACTAGTTTAGTGTAAATTTAATTGACGACTTATATAAGCCATACTCAATATTATAAATATGAGTGTTTGTTTGTTTTTCACGTCGAACAGAGTGATTGATTAGCGAGATTTTTTATGTAAAGGTAGTTGGAGGGCTAGAAAGTGACATGGGCTACTTTTTACCGCGGCAGATTATCTCATTCTCACGGGAATACACGTTATAACACAATCCAAAAAAATATTTATGATCAGAATTACTTGATATTAATGCTCTTCAATACAATTAAATAAAAATGTTTAATTCATCACATAAGTTGGTAAAATAGTGGATAAAAGTTTGTATGAAACCTACCTTTCTGGAGCTTTTTTGTTATAGTTTTAGCGCGAACGAAGTAATATATGTACGAGTTGGCGTTAATTATGATATTTTATATTTTGATTAAAATTCTTACTTTATATATTTATATTAATATCAAAAAAAACATCTAAATTAACATAGTATTTACCTTCAATTAAAAATATAAGTATTTATAAAGATAAAATGAATACATGTATGTAGCTCTAACAGAAGAATATTTTATGCCATACGTAGGTATACTTTATCCTATCTTTTATTTATGGTAAGATTATTCTAAACCTTCTTCAAATGCAGCCGAAAGTTAGGTTTATATCGCTTAGCCACCCTAGAACAGTTACCTGTTTTAGGGTAGCTAAGGGGTTATAGTTGGTAAACCCTGGACATAGTGGATAAAAGAAATTTAATATTGATTCAAATTAATCCGATTTCGCGACATTTGCCTTTAGTGACTTTTGCATACAACTTACCATCATGTTTTCGTTTATTTTACATATGATGATGTCCACCCAACCGATTTTAGTCACGGCAACCAATAATGCTGGGACTAGCTAACTGCGCAGGAGATATTTTATTGCACAAGTGTTCGTGCAGACATAAATTTATTCTCTATTCCCGACTGGTGAGAGATCAGGCGCACGACAGATGGTGTTACGTGGTCCCCGAAGCACGAGGGTGAATCACCACAAACTTCCCAGCTTTCACTTCCAGGCTTTCTTAACAGAAAGACTCAATTACTAATCTTAGCTCGATTCGGGTCTCGTATCCAGGACCTCCGGCAGCTATATGCATTTCCGGCCAATGCAATACCGGGGCAGTTTGCATACAATTTAAGTGTGTATGTAGGTGACCTAGACCTAGACCAGTTAAACCTATACATACAAATATATATTTAGGTACATACGAGTGCGTAAGAGTATACTTAGGGTGGCTTTTCTGTTAATGAACAACAGTGTGCTACAGCTTCATACATTAAATTTACCTATTGTATATTTTAATTCAATTATCATTTTGTTACAGGTATTTCAATAGAGGCAATTTATAAAAATATAAAGATAAATAGAGGTATCTACAGAAAATGAAAAGCGACAGGAAATGTGACAAAACTCTGAGCACAAGTAAATATATTTTTAATAATCTATCATTCATGATTATTGCCAAATCTGATTTGATGTTTCCTATTACATATAACTTGCCATTGAATTAGAATTCGCCTGGTTTGATGATGTTTATTTAAATCTAAATCAAAGTTTTCATTATCATGTATGTACACTTTTATACATTATTTTTATTTTCAGCGAAATTGTTAATATTAGTTACATTGGGCTTTATTTTGCTCGCCATCCCTCTGGTCTTGTTGGCTATAGATCCTGTATTTCTCATATACAAATATGTAAGTAGTCTCCAGTTTCATTTTAATCTTAAAAAAGAGTCTGTTTATATATATATATATATAATATATATATATATATATATATATATATATATATAATATTTCAATTTTTTATTAATAGTATATGTTTCTAGTAAATTACTTGTAGTATTATCCATACGTTAAAGGTAATATTGTTATTATTTAATAGGGACTTACCCTCGCTCGCTCGGGTGCGTCCCGCTTTAAATAGATAGACTAGTTATTGCGAGTGTACCTTACGAGAAAGACTTATGGTATTGCAGATTTTTCTGTAGGCCTTTTTAAAACCTACAATTTTCGAGTACATTGCTTTGATGTATTTCTTTATTTTTTATTTATTTTAATAAGGTTTGCTAGTGGTTATTACATGTTTTACAAGAAATCATTTAAATTAAATAATTAATTAGAGCACAATTATGCATATCCGTTTAAAAGCAAAACAACTCGCATATTCTTGTCCGTGACCCTTTTCTCCTAAGGTTTAGTCAGCGTTAGACATGAACATTTCTAAGAACGACTCGACAGAATCAGTTATGTCGTTTCCCTGAGGAAGTGAAATGTTTTCCTGTAGTAAATGGTATCCTAAATGTTGACACGAGTATAAATGTTATATCCAGAACTTTTTGTATTTAACGTGCACACACATAAACAGACATACAGAAATAAGTACAAAAATTATAATAACTATTGTTTTGGGGTCTATATTTGGTATATAATACGTTACAGTGATAGTTTTAAAAAATATTTCACGTACATATTTCGCTAATTTACTATTTTAATATATGTATAGACTAGCATTGCCCGCGGCTCCGCCCGCGTTCAGATGGCCAAAAACCAAATTCTTAGGTTTTACATATTAGTATACTCTTACATTGCGGTTTGCAGTTTTTGTATTTTTTCTCTTAAATGAGATTTTCCCGCGGTAAAAAGTATCCTATATGTTGACCCGGATAACCAGCTATCGTCATACCAAAATTCATCAAATCCCTTCAGTGGTTATTCCGTGGTTCGGTAACAGACAGACAGACAGACAAAAATTCTAAAAACTATAGATTCGGCCTCTGTATCGATAATAATGTCTATTTCAATAGGATTTTCCAAAAAATATTTAATGTACAGATTCGGGTAGTTACAATTGTATTATATGTATATAGATTAGTACTATTTCATTCACTTAAAAGTGTCTTATGCATTCCAGGTGGCAAGGATATCGAATGGGACTGAATTCTACAATGTCATGAAACAAGAGAACCCTGGAGCTCGTATAGAACTCTACATTTTCAATGTAACCAACACGGAATCTTTCCTGTCTGGTAAAGATTACAAGATGAAAGTGGAAGAAGTTGGTCCATTTAACTATCAGTGAGTAGTAGGTTTCGAAAGACGTAAGTCCGCCAACACGCGCTTGGCCAGCGTGGTGGACTAATTTCCCGATGTCTGTATGGCTTATTCGTATTGCAGGGAGGCCCGCGCCCAATAATATCGCGCGAATCTATAGTTATTAGAATTTTTGTCTGTCTGTCTGTTACGGCATCACAGAAAAACCACTGGAGGGATTTTCATGAAATTTGGTATGGTGATAGCTGGTTATCCGGGTCAACATATAGGATACTTTTTACCACTGGAAAATATCTCATTTCTGAGAAAAAATACAAAAACTGCATTGTAAGAGTATACTAATATGTATAACCTAAGAATTTGGTTTTTGGTCATCTGAACGCGGGCGGATGCTAGTATTACATAAAATATTATTCAGTATTATTTTTCACTTCCTGTATAATCTATTCTATCTCATTCTCTCGCCGGCTTAATCTATATATGTATTTATGTGTTTGTATCCTTTTCGTGTCGCATTTTCGTTTCATCGACTTTTAAATCACAACGATTCAAAAAAGTTTCACTTAAAAAATTAAATAATAAAAATTCACCCAAACATAATTACTAATTAATACTTTCACATAATCTATTTCTAGTGGTATTTTTGGATTGGAGAGGTGATAAGGAGTTCAGATATATAAAAGTTATTTTGAGGAAACGAAGGAGTCAAAAGTTTTAAAAGACTTAAAGTTAGAACATTTCCAATTACAGGCAAGAGGCATATTATCTTAGTCCTCACAGTGACAACGCACCTGCGGTTCTGCATTTTTGTTACATAAAACCTAAGTGCATGAACCGTAGGTGTTGTGGGCGACACGTACTGCTTTCTATCGGGTGGTCTGTCTGCTCATTTGTCACTGAACACCATAAAATAAAATATATAACAGCTGATCGCCGTGATTTGCCATTTTGTAGCGTCATTTATAAGGTTCGATAAGTGTCAGCCGAATTCGTTTGTCAAAAGTATTACAAATTCAATACGTTGAATCAAATTTGAAGTCGTAAACTTATGTCAATCACATACATTGATTATTCTATTCTACCGGCATTCAGGCGATGTAAAGTGGCACACTTTACGGCGTATTATTTTTATTCTAATCACAAATTATTTGATACGACTTGCGTGCTACGTTAATTGTCCTAAACCCTTTATAAACTTGCAATTAATCGCACAAAAACATACACTATTGTTTTATAAATAAAATCGATATTGTGTGCTTAAATGGAAAAAATAATTTAATGTTCACTGCTTGTTTTATGGAGTATAATTTTAAAACAGATACTAAGATAGTGTTTTATTTCGCAGTTTTTGTTCACAAATAGCAAAAAATCTAAATTTTACTCATACTTAGAGGTACTAGTAGGAAAAAATGCCAGTTACAAAAAAAAAGTACCTAATAAAATATTCGTTATAATTTACAATTATATATAATATTCGTTACATACATTTCTATGCCGTAATTTAATAATGCATTCTGATACGTAATGCTGTTTTATATGTTTTAGGGAATATCGAACAAATAAGCAGTTCAAATTTGATGAAAAGACGGGGCTGATGAGCTACATCCCATTCACCAGGACCGAGTTTCTACCGCATCTGTCTGTGGGGGACCCTAAGCTAATCAATGTCACTGTGCCCAATGCGGCGATCTTGGTATTACCTTAATTATGATTATTTTATGTATGTATTCGGCCCTTTTTAACGTCCCACAGCTGGGCACGGGTCTCCCTTCAATATGAGGGCAATCAGGCCATAGTCCACCACGTTGGCCAACTGCGGGTTGACGGACTTCACATGTTTTTCAAAAACTTGCTAATTTCTCTCAGACATGCAGGTTTCCTCACGATGTTTTCCTTCACCGCAAGGAAAGTGGTAATCATGTTAGAAATGATTCGTCCGTGAAAATGTCAGAGATGCGAGACCCGGGATTTGAACTCGCTTCACTAGGTTGTTATGTACTAGCAGCTCACCTTCGCTTCGCTCGGGTTCGTCCCTAGAAAAATAAAAACAAATCTATCCCACGAGAACCGTACATTTTTCCATGATAAAAAGCCTATGTAGTTCATTCCAGACTATAATCTATCTCTGTGCCAAATTTCATCCAGATCCGTTCAGCCGGTCTGGCGTGAAAGTGTTACACACATCTATATACCTACTCACATTTTTTTTTATTTTACTTACAAATTGACACATATACAGATTAGCATAATATATAAGAATAAATACTTTAAGTTCGATTTTACTTAAAGTATCTATTCCGTTTCTTTGTTTAAGTTTCTTTTGGAATCTACGTATTGTTTTGCTTAAAAGTTTTTGCTATTAAATTACATACAGTCTACAGTAAATTCGTAACTTATTATACTTTTCGTATATTATGCAGATATAATATAATACATATGTATAATAATGGTGAATAAAATTTTGTACTCTTTTTAGGCCATGTCATCTATGGTATCTACCTTTCCATTTTGGACCAAAGCTGCATTCAACATGCTTGCCACCAGGTTACAGTCTAAGCCCATCGTTAAGCTGAACGCAGAGAGCCTTCTCTGGGGCTATGAGGACCCATTGATCACGTTGGGCAATACCATACTGCCAGGATGGATCCACTTTAAAAGTATTGGAATTTTAGATCGGGTAAATTGATAATTGATTAATTATAAGAACATTTTTGGCCAAGTTCTCTTTCTACAATTGATTTATAATAGATAACTATGAAACATACGGGGAACAACAAAAGGACTGATTATGTGACTTTTAAGTGCGGCATTTGCTGCTTGAACTGGTGGAACCTTATTCCGGATCCAAACGCTTGCTATACACTTCATTTCTCTATAAAAATACTAACAGGTTGAAGCATCACACATTTGCCGTTAATTTCCTTTAATTTGTGCACAAAAATGGACATAATCAGTACGGCCACAAGTTGTAAACCTACAAAGGCCAAGCGAAATGCTCTGTCCCCATGTTTGAATTCTTTGGGGCTTGTGACCTACATGATTAGACACGTCCCGATTTCGACCCGACAAGAGTTTTAGTCCCGCAAATAAGATTTTGACCCTACACGGGCGTTTGTCGCTTCCATACATCTATCAGTCAACCTTATTACGGCCAATTGTTTTGATGAGTATTCTTAAATTTAAAAATAAATAAACTTACTACTTATATAACTGTGTTATAGCTCTACGACCAAACTCAAATACCAGTTCTGGAAGTCAGCGCCAGAAATGAAGAAAAATTTAAAGTGAAAAGTGTTGACGGGTGCCAAGGATTGAAAGTATTGGGCTTCGATAATCCGAGCATGCGGTGATATAATAATTATGTTTACTATATCTACTTGTACAGCAAGAAAAGAATAACATTAATCTTAATCATTATAGTTTCTTCTATCTTGATCATTTTTTGTCCGTCTGCGTCAATCGTAGATTTAACTTAATTTTATTCTGAATTTCATTTAAAATTTATTAAAATTTACCATATAAATTATTTACCTAATCTCTGCCAAGGAAAATTATGTATTTTCATAATATATATCTATTAGTTAACTCAAAGTTAACAATATTAATTTAGATTTTAATGTATAGAAGCCGCTGCAATACTTTTGAAGACACATATGAAGGATTTGCCTACCCTCCCGGCTTGACTAAGGATGATCGGCTCAGGCTTTATCGAAGCATTTTCTGTCGAATGCTAGACTTCGATTTAGTAAGAACCGACTCCACAGATGTCAGCCCCTACGTTTTCGTATATGAAATTAGTAACACCACTTATTCTATCAATCAGAATAACGAATGTCTTTGTGCCAACAAAGACCAATGTATCGATGGAGTTTCAAGTATTTCACCATGCTTACAGGGTAAGTATGTATGTTACATTATTAAATGTACCATGATCAAAATAGTTTTAGAGTTACAAGTATGAAATTGTAGACGTATTTCTCATATTACTGCTTGCTTATTATTATTCCTAATTATTACTAAATGTTGTTTACCCCAAACCTAGTTCTTGCGATTCCATCGATTTTATGATTTTTGGAGTTATACTTCTTTTGGCGTGTTAGGGAAAAAATGATGCGAATGAATTTGTACGATGCGACCGATTTAGACTATAGTATGAAGTTAGTGGTTAAATTTTCCTGTAGTATAGTGTGAAGATCTATATTCAAGATATTTATTCCGGTACTCTTATACACGCAACACTCGTTTCATATCGATAAAAATAAAAATTATTACAAACTTTTATTTAGTTTCACTTTCACCTATCCCTGTGTCTGTCTGTAATCAAATCTTACAAGTTATATTTGAACCACTTCCCAGTGTCTGGTTGAGCTGAAATTTGGCACAGACTTTTTGTTCTCGTGACCATGCACGATTACCTAAATGCCCCCATTTTAAATCCAATATAGTGGACGTTATATAATGGCGATTTAACATTTCCATAGTGACATAATATGGGTATCAAATGAAAGGGTTTGAACACAATAAGCAAAGTGACGTCATTGTAAATCCAATAAAACTGTAGTCTATATCCGTCGCATTGTAAAAAAAATCACGCTCATCATTTTTTTTTCTCTAACGTGCCAAAAGAAGTATTAACTTCAAAAAAACAAGCTTTCATTGAAATGTTCTAAAAAACCAAAGAAGTATAACTTCTTACTTACACACGCACACACATATCCTTTTTTGTATCATTGAGGTTAACTGAGGTAAATATTTTTAGTAAATAATTTATTCTGATTATTTTTGATATACTAATTTTGATTTTTGTATATTATATTATATTATGTATTCATGTAAGTAGCAAAAGTACTTTTTGGTTGTTGATAGCCATTCTCATTCATTAAATAATTATATTTTTTTATTAAACCTTTACCAATTATATTTAATATCTTTTTTTTTCATTATTTTATCGTCGCTTCTTCCAATGCATATCATAAAAATCTTTATCATAACCTTAATTCGTATTGAAATTTGCCTGTCCTCATTAAGTTTTTTTTTATGATTATTTTTATTATGCTTCATTCGAGTTTAAGTTTTGCTTTTTATTTTAGATTTTATTTTATTTTTTTTAGAATTTTTACTTAAGTTAATTTTTTTGTTGTTCTTTTTAAAGTGTTTTTATTTTGTAGTATTTTTTTGTTAATTTTTTTTATTTTATGTTTTAAAGTTTAAACTAATTATCATGTTTATTCTACCTGTGAGATATAAATAAGTAGAAACTTTGCTGGTGTGTGATTGTTTTTAGTTTATAATTATTTTTATAGATTATTTCACTGTTTGTTTCCCTAAAATAATAAATAAATAAATGTATAGTATTCCAATACATTCCACGCAGGATAAAATTTTTGGAGTTATTTTTGTTTTGTTACGCCAAAGAAGTATATCTTCTTACGTGCGTACATAAGTACACACACATTTTTGTTCACTGGCACTGTAATCAATTCATATAAGAATCAGAATTGCTACAGTTTAAATAAAATATAATTTTAGTTTAAACCAGCTTTAAACCTTCTTTTTTCATATTTTCTAGGTCTAGGAATAGGTCTATCAAATGCACATTTTTTACATGCTGATCCGAAAATATACGAACGCATCGACGGCATGAACCCCAACGTAGAGAAGCATGGTAGCAAAATAGTCATCGATCCTGTAAGTATTCTTGTAAGTCTTGTCTTATTGATACTCATCTTTGATCACCAATTATGTCGAGAATACAGTTTTGATATAGTCGAAATGTTAAGATATCAAACGATAACCGGTCAAAAGTTTTCTTATGAGGAAATCATGTGGACGTCACGTTCAGTTTATTTTACCTGTCTTTGTGTTGCCAAACACACGCGTCATTTTTATCTTGTGGAAATCTATAGTGCCTTTCAAATGATTAAAGTTTTATTTATATTAAATAAGCATATATACAGCCATTACAAAATTTTATTGGTTACAAAAATCGAATCGGTACTCTCAGTAGGGTGAGGCGTGGAGGAGGCAGACAGATTACTTGTTGCATCACGATAACCTTATGTAAAGTGCCCTTCTCAAAATTATTAACCAGAAAATTGATACTAGAAAACCAGTTTGATATCTTTGTTACATGTCGATGTAACAAAGATATCAAACCATTGCGAGCTCTCTTGCCGCGGCGGTGGAAAATAAATCGAGGTTAGAGTTCACGAGTCAACAGTCCCCACGTCTTTCTGGTGTTAAAGATTTTTTTGTTTCCTCAGTACTTGTGAACCGCACATGCACTCTCTCTCCGCTCTGGTTCGTCCTTACTTACGTTTTAACGTTTAGTATAGATTTCTCAGAGATGACATATTTTCCCGCAGTAAAAAGTATTCCATTCGTAGACACGGGTAACCAGCTATCATCATACCAAATTTCATCAAAATCCCTCAAGTGGTTTTTCCGTGATGCGGTCACAGACAGACAGACAAACATTCTAAAAACTATAGAATCGGCCTCTGTTTCGATATAATAAAGTATATTTCAATAAGATTTTCCAAAAAATATTTAAAGTACAGATTCGACTCAGTATTCTATTGTATGTATATACATATTACGGCAATTTATTACTACAGTTCTGAATAATAGTACAAGAACCCAACTAGCACATTTTTTTTATTTACAACACTAATGGCCGATTTCACCAACGTCACCTAAGTTTAAGGGATCCCCTAAGCATGGTTAGGGAGCTGTTAAGGGACAGTTTCTGTTTCACTGACAGTTAGGGGTCACCTAAATGTTAAAATGCCACCTAAATATAGGTAGGTACTAGAAATACGGGCTCTGACGATAATAAAACGAAATTTAATTTAGGGGCTAGATTAGGGGAACTCTTAAGCTGGGGATCCCATACGTAGATGGTAGCTTATGGGATGTTGGTGAAATCGGGCATAAGTATATTTAATTTTTTAATTAAGTTATAATTCGAAAAATGAAACATTTTCAGAAAGTCGGGCTAGTCCTGAGTACGTCATTTACCATACAAGTTAATGTAATAGTACAAAATGTTAACTTTAATTCGCAAGTGAAGCCGTTTTCAAACATGGTGGTGCCTTTAGCTTATTTTAAAATTGTAAGTAAGATTTTTATGTATATATAATTAGGTTTAAGTCTAGGCACTGCTTTTCTATTAATATAAAAATCAATAAACAATTTAATTGATGATTTATGACGACACGTTTGGCTCAATTTGTAGTGACCTTCTTTCTGTGCCAGCGGTCGCGGGTTCGAATCCTGCGGGTTGTACTCCAGTCATGGGTGTTTATATGTATAATACGAATGTATTTACAGTCATGTTAAGGTGTAGGTATGTATGGTATCCATAACACAAGCCTCGTAGCTTACCATGGAACTAGATGGTGCTGTGTGTTAATGTCCCAAAAAAAGTTTTTATCTCATATTTGGAATAGATACACATGTACATCTTTCTCGACCAAACTGGGATTAAATGAATATGTAGTTAAAATAAATGTATACACTATGTCTCCTTAATCTGATCTAAACACTATCCAAGTTGTTGAAGATGAACCCACCTAAATAATCTTATCTTACTAATATTATACTCGTAGATATGAAAGTTTATAAATTTGCTTAGATGTTTGGATGTATGTTTGTTATTCAATCATGCCAGAACGGATAAATGGATTTGGATGAAATTTGGCACAGCGATAGACTATAGTCTGGAATAGCACATAGGCTACCTTTTATCCCGGAAAAATGTACGGTTCCTGTGGGACAGTTTTGTTTTGCTTTTCTAGAGGCGAACCTGAGCGAAGTGAGGGTGAGCCACTAGTATAATTATGATTTCTCCAAGTTAATTAAATAATAACTGCTATGATCATCATGCAAGTTTTTGGTACCCTTAGAATACTCTATCACTTTGTATAAAAAAAAATCACTGGATGCGTGATGAATAAATAAATGAATAAACAAATATGAATAAATCTTTAAACTGAAAATAATAGTTTCAAATTTATCCTTTTAGATTTCAAGCTTAACAGACGAAAATAAAAACAACGTTAAAGCTATCTATTACTTATATCCATACATTTTCCACGCGATAGAAACTATAGCGTTGTTATTGGGAGTGGTTACTATAGCGTACGCAGTGTGTCGAACAGATTGGAGCTGGTATAAAAAAAGTAAATTTCAGGAAAAACATAAAAATGTAGCTCCAATTTCATCAGAAACACCTTTAATTAACGAAAACAATAAGGATTGTATGGTGAATGTTAAACCAAATAGTATTAATTGTAAGTAGAGCTTCGGCCTTAAAAGAAAAATTGATTTCCTTTAATATTATTATTGTTTAAGTAAATATTGTAAATATTTTGAATAAAGCTAATTTTAATGTTCAATTCTTTTAGTTTTTTTTCGTAAGTTTCCATAATATTTAAGCCATGGATACAACCTGTACGGGCCTATTTGTAGGTATGTTATATTTTCAAAACATATTAATATTATAATTTAATAATTTTAATCTCCTCAAAAAGAAACAGTATCAGACAAAATATCAAATTCGATTTTAAAATTAAAAATTGCTTGTGATATGTACTTTATTTTGTTAAAAAATCAAAAATTTAAAATCTTTACTCACTTTTACTCAAGCTCAAGAAGGGTTTTAAACTTTGAAGCATTCCATCGAAAAAAACCCATTTATATTAAAATGCTCAATTTTAATTTACATCACGTTACAATGATTAAATTAATTACAATATAAAAAAATATTATATATTATACAGTATATTAATAATCTGTATAGGAATCTGAATCCGAGGTTTCTGTATCACTTGATGAATATTCTACGCTAGACTTCTTCCATCTTCTTTTGTCAGCTTCAATTATCTTTTTAATCACATGTAGTGGTGGATGGCGATGGATTACTGGTTCAAAGACAGTTCGAGCTGGTATTATGACGGGTGGAGGAGGTATAGGATACAACAATGGATAACAGGGATTTGGGCAAGAGTAATCTGGGCAACATATTATATCAGTGTTGTTTGATATAGATTTGTCTAGATTTTGATGTACTAAAAAATTTGACTGTCCCTGGTTTAGATCGGGATGACTCTTCATTAAAATATCCATAAAAGATTGCTGTCCCATGTTGAAGGTATCTCCAAATGTGATTAATATACAGATTATAAATACAAGTGGCACTATAAGCATGTTTGTAGTCCAAATACTAAATTAAACAAACACTGCCTACAATTTATAGGATCTTATAAATTGGCCATTGTATTCACAGACTATTGTTACGTAGATGCTAAAATGTAAACTAATTCTTACGACTTACACCTGCACTTTTATATAAGCTTATTAAAAAATTATGACGTTCATACTTACTATGTAGACTAAACATACAATGACATAATATATACATGAACTTATTTTGGAACGATCTTCTCAACACTTTAAACAAATTCTAACTTATTTGAAATGATAAGGATAAATTGTTGATTTTTTTATCTCCAGATGGTCTGAATATTAACTGTTTCTTGCCATCTCCCAGCACATGATTAGAAACACCGCCTCTGAGATAAACTTTTTTATGTCTGCCTCCTCTATGTCTGCGTGTGTCTTCATTATTTGAATAAACTATTACTTGTGGCTTACTTTCTTCATCGTTTCCCGTTACTACTCGAACTGTTTGATGTGCATTAGATCTTTCCCCGAGCAACTGTGCCACGTCTCTATCATCGATTTTAGTTTCGAATTTAATATCACCATTCTCCGCTACATAACTTAACATAGGTTTAACTAATTCGTTTTCATTTTCAGAACTTCGAAGACTTCTTCTGTATATGTTTGCCTTTCTTCGTCTATTTTTTCGTGACCTTAAATCATCGAATTCACTACTACTTGTTTCCGAGGAGTCAGAGAAAGATGAATATATAGGTTTTGTTTTCTTAGGTCGTCTTGATGGTCTTATGGGTATATGTGGGGGGAGTGGCACTACTACAACCGGTGGTGGCCCTATTTGTATTGCATATGATGGGGCCGGTGGTGCTGGCGGCAAAGGTGCTGGCATATCATCTCTACGCTTGCATCTACATTTCAGGTGACAGGGAGAACAAAATGAAAAAAATGATGGTGTACACGATGGTTTGCACACACATGGTGGGCAAGGTGGACATTTTGTTGGCCTTGGTGGAGGTCCCTGACATATATTTGGTGATTTAGTAGAAACAGGAGGTGCAATCGGTACTGGCATCGGCATTGGCATTGGCATCGGCATTGGCACAGGAATCGGTACACCAAAAGCTACTTGATTAGCTACTTGATTTTCTGGTTTTTGTGTTGTAGTTGTCGTTGTCATCATGGATGATGTTTCATCTGGTTGCGGCACAATGATGGGAAATAGAGCAGGCGCTATAAAAGGCATTGGAGCTGGTACCGGTACAGGAAATAGTGGGGGAGGTGGCGGTGGATATACAGGCATCGCGAATTGTACATTCACTAGCTTGAATATATTGGTGAAGATTGTCAATATCCATATACGTTTATATTTCTGAAAAGCGAAAAACAATAATATTTCATTAGATATAATACGATAAATTATTGTAAAAAATATTTCCTACGTCCCAACATTGATATTACAATTAAAATGTATAATATGTATTATATAATGGTATACATCTTAATAAAAAAATTATTATATTATATTTAAAAAAAAGTATAATTAAATGTACTTTATTATCATTTAAAAGTTTCATATTATTATCCAACTCACATAAATCATTCTTGACAGGCACTTTGTAATCACCAAGTCGTCGTATTAGAGTATTGCTTTTATACATTTTGCTTATTTCTTACACAACGACGCATTGTAGAACCTCTAAGATAAGAAACAAAACTAGCTACTACTCTGGCGGGCTTAAATGCATTGTGTTACAAAATACAATTTATTTTATAGTTGATGTAAACATTGAAATGCATATGCATCTATAATTAAACTAAAGTGTACCTACATATATAGTTAAACTATCCAATATTATAAAAGTGAAAGTTTTAAATTCACCCTTCGCCGTCGGGTTGGCTGTCATCCACACATCTTAGATGCTTGGTATCCCCCAAATGTACTTGTATCAGGTCCTTTAATATATTTATCTTCAGATCCCTTAAAGACTTAGACCTCTTATGTTAGACACTCTTATGTTACAGATGTCTATGTGCGGCGATAACTACTTATCATCACTTACCATCAGGTTATCATTTGCTCGGTGTGTTACTATAAAAAAAATATGTTTTTGTTTTGACTGTTCGTTGTACAACAATGAAGAACTTTAATTTAAGGGCGGAGTTTGACAGAGAGTGAAGAGTTAAATGTATGCCAGTAGTGATCAGATGAGAGCGCATCCGCTGTGGGAACAGGGATGAGGATGTAAATAGGTCTTGAACTTCTAATATTTTCATGTGTAAATCTGTGTGCATCGAGAGGAAACCCGCACGTAAGGGAGGCAAGTGTCTAACAGTGGAACGTTTCAAGGGCTGCTATATTTATTTTAGGAGGTGGTGGAAAATATTATAAAAAAAAGGTTACGGCGTGCGTGGCGGAATATTGGTTTATACTGACTGTCTTTGAATAAATACCTAATAATAATTAAAGCACATAACTAAAAAAAATCTTTCCTTTAACATAGTAATACGTGTACCATTGGGATAGCGCGACCACTTGGGAGCAGATTGAAGCGGTTTCAAATCCCGGGCTTAGCATCTCTGATTTTTCCCGATGCGACCAATATATAGTTGAAAAAATAGTTTTTAATCAGTATGTTTTATAGGCAGTGAGAGCCCAGTGGTAACGCGCTCGAAGGGGAAAACGAGTGAAGCGGGTTCAAAACTGGGCCTTGCACCATTGATATTTTCATGTGCGAATCATTTCCAACCGATTACCACTTGCCTGACGGTGAAGGAAAACATCGTGAGGAAACCTGCGTGTCTGAGAGAACGTAGCAAGTTTTCGAAAGATATGTGAAGTCCGCCAACCCGCACTTAGCCAGCGTGGTGGACTAACGGTCGTTCGTCCCTAAGATGTTATAGCGGGAAGAAGAATCAAAGTTTCGTATTGATCATATGACTATATATAATATACTGGGTTAAAGAAATAAATGAGAAATATGTATCTCGATATTTGCTGGTGCTTACGATATATTAAGCAAAATAATTGTTGCCATGCTATATATGCTTATACCTCATAAATCGTGTAGTTGTAGGTACCTTTTAGTAAAGGTAATGTTTACATCAGTTCAATGGTTTTAATCCTCACGGGTAAAATATTTAGCTTTAACTAATAACAATTTTGGTAAAAATTTTATCAGCGAAAGATACCATATTTTAAGCTTATTTTTAATAATGCGGCAATAATCAGGTCTACGTATCTGAAATCCCATCCAGTTACTACACATACCGAATCGATTTTAATGTATATAATCGATTTTACTAACAGTAGTATATCATTTCTCTTACGAGAACTCTTTCTTTTTAAGGAAAAGGATACTAACTTGAAAACTTATTAAAATAACGAGTAGCATTCAAATATGTTTCGACCAATATTTAAATATCGCATTTCTAGTATCGATTTTATTATGTATGCTAATATATATAAGGATTAAAATTCTTCATTTGAAACAGTACTATTTGATTTATGCTAAAGAAATACATGATACTTAGACCAACTGAAGAATTTGGCAATATCTATCTGAAAAGGCCATATTTTACACAAAATATTAAGAAATAGTTTTTGCAAGTTAAACTAAAAAGCTATCAAATTGAATTTTTTACTTATTTATTTCGTCTCTGGGAGACTTAACAAATAAAATAAGATATTTTTGGAAAAATGTTTGATATATACCTACAGAAAAACTATCCTATAGTAGCCTATAAAATTGATAGTAAATTTAAACATAACATTTACACAATTTTATTTGTAGAGCAAGACAGAAAAACAAACCGATGATATAATTTATTGAGTTATATTTAATTCATTTTATTATTTTGACTTCAAAGTACAAAAACTTAAAATCTAAATGTTATCACTTAATATCTTATTGCTTTGGTAATTTTCCTTTTAGAATGTTTCTTTTTATGAACAGCTTGTGGATCTTTCCGGGCTTTCGTCGTGACTTCCGCGCCTTCTTCTTCTTTGATTAAAAACCTCGTATCTACTTCATTTTTCGATTCATGTGATTCTAATTCATACTCATGTTTGTTTGTGACCGTTTCTACTTCATTTCTGTTATCATTTTTATTACCCAACCAATCTTTAGCTTCACCTTTGGAAATTTGTTTTTCATATATAACATATCCATCTTTCGTGACGTACTGGAGCACTGGCGTTAGCAGTGCTTGATTTTGGTGTCTTCGCCGTTTAGATCTGTGACGATTATTTCTTCTACTCTGTCTGGACTCTTTCCACCATCCTCCACCTGAAGTGTCTGAAGAATCGTCTGTGGACGTATCAGTATCTGAGCTGTCTTCGTCAGAATAATAATGCTTAGGTCTTTTTTTAATACGAGAACTTTTATGTTTTTTATAATTTGGTGGCCTTGGCTGAGGTTGAGCTGTTTTTGCAGACGTATCTTGTGAATAAAATGGCATTACTATAACTGGCAGTTTTTGGGCTGGAGCAGAAGGCATTGGTAGCAATTGCATAGGCATTGGCATACCTCCAGACATTGTACCTGAGATACCTGTAGGAATTGATCCTGGGAGCCCTGACATACCTGGAATACTTGGGAAACCTGGCATAGGAATTGGTAAAGGTTGTTGTTTTTCTAATGGATTTTGTGGCATTCTAGGAGGAGAACCAGCTGGCATACGGCAGTGCATCGGCAGATTTTGTGGAAAATACTGCATATTCGTTGGACACGGTGGAAGCTCTGGTTCTTTAGTTTGTATTATTGCGATATTCCAAATTACAATTGCTTTAATTAGGCTTCTCCACATTTTTATCTGTAACAAATATATCAAAATATATTGTAAATAGTCATGAACAATTGAAAATTGCTCAAAGTAGGTACTTCAAGTATTTTTGATAAAATACTTACAACATGTAACTAGATTGATCTGACGATTTTGTCTGCTTAATGATTCTTAACAATATAGCTCTCATTTAAGTAAAGCTGTTTTATAAATACTCGTAAACTCTCGCCGCATAACATACCGATTGCCGACGTAACCACTGAACAATGTATGCCATTGTTCATTATTTGGAATTAAGCTCTTATATAAAACTAAAGGTGTAATTAATGTTACATTATTATGAATCTATTTTCTTCATAAACGAACATTTATCTTCTACATACCCCAACAGAAAGATTCAGTACCTAATAGTCAGTTAAAAGAAATATTAAGATATATGATGGTATTATATTTAAAACTTTACAAAATATATAAAATATACATTTAAGTCAAATGCATTATGAATTTTTGTTTTAGTTAAATCTATTTAGAACTTCTGCTACTTAAACTTAGCTTTATACTTCCTATTTCACATAGAAGCCGAGGGTTGCCAATTGAGTAATGCCAATACAAATAAAGTTGTACCTACAAAATAAGTTACATCAGAAAAAACTTATTGGATAACACTCAGCAGCCATTGTTTGATTTTGAAGCAGTATTTAAAGCTTAAACGTAAGAATTATTGGCATTAATCGAAGTAACCGTTTGCAGAAGCTACGTGCAAGGTTTGGTCACTTTATTTTGTAATTAAGAACTATGCTGACTGACATGCAAATTTACCAAAACTTTAAAAAGTCTGAAACAACAGATAGGGATTCTTAACGTCTGTCCCCTAAATATATTTCTTTATATTAAAGTATTTGCCAATGTCTGTGTAGCACTTCGAATTGGGATTGCGGAGTCGATGGTTTTAATGGAAAACTCTAAATAACAAAAAATATATAATATCTGGACCAAGACTTGTTGGCCTGCGACTATGGAGGACTTCTACCCTCCATACCTGTGACTTATGTATGTTACGAATTTAATTTACGGATAGCTCAAATATTTACTTACTGAGTCAATTCATCTTCCACAATACATAACTGAGGCGAAAGTATTGGAGTATTACAAAATTACATAATATTTTTAAATGTAATTTTCTTTCAGATGTACGCACCTGTATCATTTCAGGCAAGTATTATATTGCATTTAACTTTGGAGTCACTTTCACAATTTTTACCTCCATCAATCTTCCAACAACAACCAGGACCTATGTCTCCTATGATAATGCCTCCTTCAATGCAAATGTCACCGTATCCTCAACAACGCCTTCCCGTCATGGTAATGCCGTACCATTCAAAGGCGGCTGACAAGAAATACTTAAAACGAAAAAATAGAAAACACAAATATTACGAAGATTCTGAATACTATAGTGATAGTGAAAGTTGTTCTTCCAGTAACGAATACTTACGAAGTCACAAAAGAGGTCATAGAAAAAAGAAGCGGCAAGTCTTAACACCTGTGATATCCTATGTAACTAGAAATGGTAGGGTTGTTTATCAGAAGAGAATAAAAAAAGAAAATGCTGGAGATTGGTTAGAGATTGGAAAGGATAAAGTTTTGTCGAAATATGTGGAGCGTGAAAAGGAAAGCGGTGAAATGACGATAGGAGACTTAAAACATAAGTACGGTTTAAAGAAACACCATCATCACAATGATAAATAAAACTTCATGTAATATAGTGATATATATATATATATATATATATATATATATATATATATATATATATATATATATATATATATATATATATATATATATATATATATAATATATACTTATTTGTATATTTTAACCATACATTAGGTATAAGTTTTAACTGTAAACTTAAAAAAAGAAGTTTATATGAATTATTAAAAATAAACACTAACATTGTGTTTATAAAACTATTGTAGTCTTATTTTTAGCTGATATTAGTACGTATTACCATACCGCTTCATTGATCAGCGTTTTTTGGATTACAAAATAAAACTTGTCTTATAAAAAAGAATGATATCAAAATTATTAACCAGACATAAATTTTATGTATTTGTAGATACTTACGAAAGTAGTTACTGGCTTCACACATTCACTGTAAGTTGAAAAGCCAGTAAGGGAATTAATTTAAAGCAAGATTGAACAAATTCACTCTATGCTAATTGAGATAATATTAGGTATAGACTATAGTTAAATAAAATTAAACACATAAACATTTTTTCAGATATGGCAACTTTATCTTCAGGTTACTTTCTTATCATTATTGCCAATTGTGAAAACTCTACCGTTGCAACTTCAGTTATATAATGAAAATTTTGAATGTGATGTTAAACCATACAATAATTATTATTTTAGCAAAGATGAGATAAAAACTAGCACAAAATTCTTTTGGCCATGGCTATCAGGCTATCTTTTGGACTCTAACAATATAAAAGATTTATTTTTCTATGGAAAGAAATAAAGCTATTTAAAAATAAAATATAATAGTTTTCATGTTTATAATACGGCTAGATAATAATAATTGATATAAACTAGGTAAATTAGGTATGGAATCAGATAAAGAAATATTTAAAAAGCTAGATATTGATTCTTCTGTATCCTAAATTAAAAAATTAATTTCCTTAAAATTATTATAGTATCGAATAATGTGCACTATATGTGTCAATTATAATTTACAAAATATTAACAAGACTATCAAATGTTTTTCAGTTACATTTATATACACTACGCTTAAAAGTATCATTCAATCTTTGCGTAATTTGTGACGTCTCATCCTCTAACCTTTTAATTCAGTTTGACATTTAGCGTTCATTGATGAGGTGGTGACTGTGTTGTGTTGTGATAGTTTTTGGTCGCCGGTAAATAAAATAGTGTAGAATTACTTATATGATTTAATGTGTTTAAAATGACATCGCTAAAATATTCTGTTATATATAACTCGAAACTATTACTGTGTCGGTCTCACATGCGTAAATTATAGAAAAACATGTAAGTGACGCGGGAACTTTGTACCCAATACCATTTTACAAAATGGACAAAACCGAGAGCAAGGAATGGAAGAAGAAATTGGGGTTTCCAGTAAATTACGATTCCGGACAAAGCTCTGATGACGATTCGTAAGTATTGGTTTGTTTATATAACTAGGTTAGTTCGAGACCTTCACACTTTGAAGGCCACGGATCTTTATCTAAACAGATTAGGTTTGATTGCCATTAAATCTAAATAATAAGTTTTACAAGTGAGTAAAATTAATGTATATTCAAGCCTTAGTCAGTTTATTCTACACTACAAATGATTTATACAACATGTAAGATATGAATTAAAACAAATAAAATTGTCTTTTTTTTCACACAGCACTATCTAATTCCATGGTAAAATACGAGGCTTGTGTTATGGATACCAGATAGTTGATACATTATTCCTATATAACTTTAAATACATACATATTATAAATATAAACACCCATGATTGGAGTACAAACATGCTCATCACACAAATGAATTCCACCAATGGGACTCGAACCCGCTGGCACATCAAGTAGGGTCACTACAACTGAGCCAAACATGTCAAATATTAAGCTTTTGGTTTAGTCAAAAATAAAATATCACAGAGTGTTAAAAAAACTACTTCATTTATACTTCAAAGAAATACTTGTTGTTGTAAATTGTTATATACAAAGTTATTTTATAATAGCCAATGTTATTAATTGCTAATATATTTTATGAAACAAGGTTTTTTTTTCAAGGTTCTTGAAGTTGCATTATATCTTAAACATTTATATAAATATAGAAACAAGAAATATAATGATATTAGCAAACTCATCTGTGTTCAATTTACACACTTTGAAGCTTTATTCAATTGAATCTGGTCATGGATGCGTCACCGCCTGTTCATCATCTAGCTGTTTACTTCGGTGAAAAGTGTTTTAAATATCAAAGTTATGAAATTAAATTATTAAAGGCATTCATGACCTTTATTTAGGCAATTCACTTATCATAAAGATATTGTGTTTAATATAAAATAACTTTTATTTAGAGGAGGATATCCAAAGTTGATACTCGAGCACTATTTGATTATAATTGATCCAGAAAGCAAAGGTAGGCTTACATTATTTTATAAAACATATCCTTAAAACAAAGCAATCAATCATCAGAATGAATTATCATCCATTACTCTTTATACTTGATAATAATTGTGTTGTACAGAGAAGTGATATAAAGATTAACACAAGTGCTTAGATACGTTAGTGGCTATAAGTTAGCTGGCTATCTATAATTTTATCTCCCACTAACTATCATATGTAAAATATGTAGTTCTGATGACTCATTACATTTAAATGTGCAATGTATATAGGATTAAAATTTGCTATTATGATAGATAGTAGATATATACTAGTTTTTACTCATGCCTCTCTCTGCTCACATTCATATTAATTATTTTTGAATAGGGAAGGCAATAGGCAGTCCAAATATATAAATTTTATTTTGAAGAAATGAATGAGTCAAAAGTTATTGAGATTTAAAGTTACAACATTTCCATACATTATTATGACATTACTGCCATTTTGACACTTGGAAATGTCAAAATGTCACTTCAAAGTGCCAAAATGAACTTCAAATAATGAGTCAGATCTATCACCGAATTTTAAGTTAACGTAAAGCACTAATGATAGCATGGGTTCTGCTTTTGAAATAAAAAAAAGACCTAACGAGAACTCACCCTATGTTATCAAGTCGGACTGCCACTTAATCGAAAATAAATACACTTAGATTAAAAAAATACTCTACTTACGTTTATAACTAAAAGACTTAAAACAATAAGGACACTTAAAACTATAACTTAATACTATTAAAACAAAAAACTAGGAACGAACATATATGAAAATTAACAAAAACTAATAACTACTGGAAAATAATATAAGAGAAATAACTATGAAAAAGAGCAAAAAATTTAAAATATGAATAATACTGATCATATTCACATATACTATCGGACTTCGCGGTATTTTGTGGCTACCGGCTACCCGCCAATGTACTCAAAAATATTCATAGATAATAAAATCAAATAATGGTTTAAAAATTTTTGCTAAATGAAAATTAATTATATAACTCAATATTTTACATAAATCAAATAAAAACTCGTAAATACATGCATGAATTGAAAAAATAATATATTTCTATTTTAAAATCGTAGCAATCTGATGAGAATTTTCACTTTTAATATGCATAATTCTTAAATAATTACTAATAATTACTAAGTGATACTCTGTTGTCCTGGACGCGGTAGATAAAACAGAAATTGACAGTTTTGTCAAAATTTAGGAGTATTTCGTTTAGATTAGCTTTTTGTGAAATTATCAAAATATTAATACATTAAAGCTTTAAATATTAAAAAAAACGTGAATTTTATACAAAAAGGATGTTTATCTTTTATAATGACTTATTTAGGTATAGCAGTGTATGGAAATGTTCTAAGTTTAAGTCTCCATAACTTTTGACTCCTTGGTTTCCTAAATAATTTATATATATTTGAACTCCCTATCACCTCCCCTCAATTTCAATCAAATGTTTTGGAGCTTTTACAGATTGAAAAAGTTACAAACATGCACACACATAAATATACTTTTTTTTGCAATTGTAATGTAAGGTTAAAATACAAAACTTGCACTGCATATTAATTCCCAAAAATACATTGAGCTCCCTGTATTATTCCAAATAAAAGGAAAGCCATGTTAAATAGACTTAAAATTATGTATTTAAACACAAATTAAGGAAAACAAAACATATAATTGCATTATTACTACATATTTGGCACAATTTTTATGTTCTAACTAAATGACTAAGTTCTACATAAAGCTGTTAATTTTGTGCAAAATTTGATGCCCCAAAAGTTTCTGCTATTTTATATCTGTGATTGACGAAAGAAGACATTGTGTCATCATGACATCAAGACATGTAAATGATGTTCTCCTGGCCGATTCTGGCCACGGCGGCCAATCTCATTGAGACTAGCCAACTGCGCAGGAGATATTATAGTGCACAAGTGTACGCGCAGACACAAGTGCACTCTCTATTCCTATCACTCTCATACTCCGGTGGGACGACCACTCGACACGACCGGTGAGAGTTAAGGCGCAGGACCGACGGCTTTACGTGCTCTCCGAGGCACGGGGGTGAATATACGGAAAGACTCAATAACTAAGCTTGGCCCGACCCGGACTCGAACCCAGGACCTCTGGGTGTGACCGTACATGCTAGCCACTACACCACCGAGGAAGTTATGTATTGAGAACCAACAGAAAAACTATAATTTAGATTAATAAATTGTTAAAAAGGATCTAAATTTTTAAAGATTAATTTTTATTGGCCAAATAGACTGTGTAGAGTGTAGACCATAATGAGGGCTATCGCGCTTGAATTTGCACCGACAGGCGCTAGTGTAGAGTAAGGTCTCCAGAAATGTCAAATGACACTGTATGTTTCCTCTTTATAAGCTTTCCATTCCGGATTTTCACTTATTATTTATTAAAAAATACTAGATATACAATCCCATGCAAAAGCTCTCTTAAAACTGTCACCAATTGTGCTTAGGTAATTATTCTAGTGAAGTACAACAATGTAAATTGAACCTTAAAAACAATTCTTAAAGTTGTTTTCACAAAAAAATAATAAAAAAAATGCTCAAAATATGTTCAAATACGACAACGATACGACCTTACCCACCAGTGGCGCCAACTGGTGCCACCAGAAACGATAGCCCATAAACACTAACAATAAAGCTTATACATATATACCTATATGAATTTACATGAATGATAATATTTTTATCTCTATTAGTACTCATACCGTACTTAATACAATTGTTAAACTTCATTTTTGCTTTAGTTAGTAAATTTTGTATCATGGTGTAATGTGTTTATTTTGTAATTTTGTGTATATATTTTGTAAGTACGTCGAAAATAAAGTAATTAATGACATGTTTATATAATATTATGAGACTTGATGTACCTATCAGATTTATTAGGAATATTTGCACTACATCTAGATTAAATGATGAACTTCACTAAAGTAAAGCTTGAGAATCTAATGTATTATATATGTAGAATAGTAACGATATTGTGTGTATATATTTTGCTATTATAAATTGCATTTCTTTTGTTTTAGTATTTTTTAATATAATAAAAAAATACCAAAATAACACATTGAAGGTCTATATGATGATTTACAGATATTTATTCTATGAGCGATTGCATCCAACACGCAATTGTGCATGAGTGTACATTCAAACTACAGTACACGCAGTGTCATACCTTCGTCAAAGACCTTAAAAAAATTGAATGGAAAGAACGCATAGATAATTATAATTTAAAATTAACTATGGAAACCAAAAAATGTTTAATCCCAGTGCAATTTACTCGTGAGAAAATAACATTATCATTCCTATTGTATTCTTTTGTTGATATTTTAAGTACCTACACGGGTGATTACCGCCGCGGTATCGTACATGACAATATTTCATAGCTTTATGTACCTAACTAGCGACTCACCCTCGCTTCACCCTTGATTCCCCATACGAACTATCATCCCCATTTTCACCCCCTTAAGGGATGATTTCCGGGATAAAAAGTATCCTATGTCCTTCCCAGGGTCTCAAACTATCTTCTTACCAAATTTCATCTAAATCGGTTCTGTAGATCCAGAGATTACCCCCCTACAACGTCACAAACTCACAATAGTCATATACTCAGTTTGTAGTGACCCCACTTGCTGCGCCAGAGGTCGCGGGTTCGAGTCCCGCTAGGGGCATTCGTTTGTGTGATGAGCACGAATGTTTGTACTCCAGTCATGGGTATTTATATTTATAATATGTATGTATTTAAAGTTATATATGTATAATATAATGTATCAACTATCTGGTATCCATAACACAAGCCTCGTAGCTTACCATGGAACTAGATGGCGCTGTGTGTTAATGTCCTGACATATTTATTTATTTATTAATATCACAAACATTACCTCTTTATATTATTAGTATAGATTTGTTAGCATTTAGCTTTTACCTAACAAGTTTCAAAGTGAATATTGTTAGGGCATCACCTATGTTTTAAAAACATGTAGAACGGGGAGCTCGTGTTCTATATGCAATTTAAATTATCAAAATAGAAAAATAATATAATATTTCATAAAGAAACATTTATAGAGTAAGAAAAGTCCCGTTCGAAGTCCAGAAGCTACATTATCCTTTCTGGAGTTAAACACATTCAAATATATGTAAACTACCTACCTTTTAATTAGATATGTTTTTTTTTTTATTTCCAATGTACAATTTTGACTGTGTTACAATTATTTTTATTGTATTATTGTACTATGTAATGTAATTTGAATTCGATTATATTTTATGAATGCACGTCAGGCTTTTTATTTACATATTCAAAACATAAAAAAATTAGGTACGTGATATGAGATGCTAGCCGCTAATACCGCCATTTTATCTGACACAGACTAGGGAAAATACCTTAATGTTAGACAGTAAAACATAAATTCTACGCAGATTTTGGTATACACTGGGACATTTTTGCTTACACTACATACACTGGGACATGTTTACACTGGGACATTTTTGCTACGACTACGTCTAACGATCGTTGTTTGATCAAGAAGTAATATATTTATATGAGATAATGGTTTCGGCCGATGACCACGGACACTTGGAATGTGTGCGATTACTTTATTTTTCCTAAAAATAGCTGTTGCTAATCTTTGCGAAATATAGGATATTGTGTATCATAGTATGATCGATTATGATGAATGTTACATAAGAAAAAATCGTTCTTTAATTTTTACTTGAAAGTTTATTTGGTCTGTTCCCAAATTTAAACGCTAGGTTTAAACCCATTTTTGGTAAATAAAAATGGCCAAAATCTAAATATTTTATTGTACACTAGCTACTCACCCTCGCTCCGCTCGGGTTCGTCCCTAGTTACGTTTTAACGTTTAGTATAGATTTCTCTTAAATTAGATTTTCCCGCAGTAAAAAGTATCCTGTATTATGTTGATCCGGATAACCAGCTATCATCATACCAAATTTCATCAAAATCTATCTTGTGGTTATTTAGTGATGCTTTCCCAGACAGACGGACTAAAGGTTCTAAAAACCTTAGAGATTCGGCTTCTGTATTGATCATGATTACTATTTAGAAAAAAAAACAAAAACATTTAATGTACAGATTCGACTCAGTTAGAATTTTATTATACGAGTATGTGTAGATACTTGTTCTAAACTCCTTTATATTTAATAATAATTATTCTGCGTCGGTAGACGTATACGGTCACCCAATGCAAGGCACAGTGCGCAAATATACATTTTTACATTGTATGTCAATTAGCGTAAAGCATCAAGGCCGACTCCGACAAACAAAATCGGCAACATTGTTCGGGCAGCGAGCTCGACCAATAAATATTCGCTAGGAATACTAACTTGTATATTCTTACAGTAATGATTTGGCCGTCAAAAAGGGTCAGTTTGTATTTTGTTCGAATACTCGTAACATATAATATGTAATAGTCCTCTAAAAAGTAGGTTTTGTCTAAATTTTGTTTACTTAAAACTAGAATGATAATGGTTTTATATAACTAATATTATAAACGCGAAAGTGTATTAGGATGGATGTATGGATTTTTTACTCTTTTAAATAAAATCTACTAAACTATTTAATGAAACTTTCAGTAATATAGTTTTTAAAATGTTACTAGCTAGTTGTGTTTTATTGTTCAGTATAGACTTTTCAGATCAAAAATTCATGATTTGATTCAGTACTTATAGATCAGATATTTTCCCTATCGAGAATTATTTTTGAATTTTATTTTACGCATAGAAAATGTAGGCACAACAAAGTGACACTTATGTACATAAATCAAGTAATTATGTACATAAATCAAGTAAGAAAATGCTAGTGTGAAAGTGAATATAAGAAGCGAATTTAGTCTTAACTCGAAACCCAATTATAACAAATATTTTCCTCTCGCGGAATCGAATCTGATACTTCTGGTATTTTAGTAGTATATCCATTGCGTTTATAAATACATATGTTAGGTCATAAACAAATAGTTCATGTGCAAACAATTGAAAACCCATTGTATAATCGTTTGGTGTATTAACTTTGGCACAGTATATCATATAATGTTATGCCTATAATTCTATCAGAGATTTTCAAAAGCATTTTATCATCATATCACAAGGAAATTAGCCGTTATCAATAAAAACAAATATTCATCGGTGAATATGAGCATATCTCGATCGTAATCGATGTTTTATGAACTGTACTATATACAGTAATAATTGTAAACGATATGTCGAAAAGTGTTCTTTTATTAACGTTACACACCAAAATGTTATTTAGAAATATTGTAGCCTTTTATTGTTGAAATAATTATTAAATTCGGTTCATTAGTTTAAAAATGTATTGCTATATTAGAAACCTAAAAAAAGAAAAAAATCATTATTTATAAGGTTCTCGCGTATAAAATTTCGTACGATTTTTGTCAGTTCGATGCAGTTCCCGGCTGAGACGAACGTTTAAAATGAATAACAATAAAACTTTAATTTACCTGATACTACGACGGCGGCCTCAGCGTGCTAGATCTATCAAAAGATGTCATAAATATTGGATTTCACCCTTTTACGGCCTTGAGAAATCCGCACCGCATAACGTTCGATTTGCATCAAATCACAGATATCCCGCCAGTGCGGCTACTCCCATATGATTCAATGTGTTATAGAATTGCAAGAAAAAAAAGTGCGGTGAAATATCGCAGTGAGGACAGGGCGTAAATAACGACCTACCCTCGCTTTGTTAAAGTGCCTTTAGGTGTCTAGCAGTAGTATGTACCTATATGTGCTATCTAGGTCATAGTCTATCTGTGTAGATACTTAATATCATCCAAATCCGCCCAGTCGTTCTAGCGCAAAAGAATAACAAACATACATACATGCAAAAATTTGCATTTATAAAAATAGTTTGATAGTGTTTTTTGATTGAAAAACTAGAAATAATGTAATAACTCTTGAACCTCTAGCATTAGCTTCAAGGTGTAGTTGATGTTTTTCATTTTTGTTAATACGTGTTTTTGTATTGGTTCAACTAGGATCGAGACGGTGAAATACATAATAATTATGTTATCTTAAACTTATGCGGAATTTAGAAGGCTACCCTCAAAAATCAGAAATTAATAAAATTTTGTATTTACATCAAGTTTTTTGTAATAGACAAAATAAACAAACGAGATATTCAGTTTCAATTCGGATGTACGAAACTAAACATAATGTGATGATTTTTATTTTCCCTCGTGAATCATTGAAGCGATGATGCTAGAAAGCGAATAACGATATTTTTAAGAAATCTCAATTTAGCATCTTCCTCTTAAAGATAGCAAACATCATGCTTCTTCTCTATAATATACAACTAGGTGGGTGTAGGTACTAGATAATTTAAACATAAATAAAAACTATATCTCATGAGATTATTGGTGTACCGGGTAGAAAAATATCCTCGGTCGACCCATTTACTATCAATGCTAAATGTTACGTAGCTCTGTTCTTCCAGTGCTGCATACAAAAAGAAAAATAAAGCCATAGATGATGGCCCAAAGATTATACGTGGATCAATAAAACTAAAATCATCGTTTTATAAATTACATATAATTATGACCCCCAACGGCCAACATGTAACATTATCTTACAATTAAATATATTTCCAGCGACATCAACGACGTGGAGATGAGACACTCTCGCCACTCTTCCAAGTATTTATTGGCGGAAGATGGTGACGGTTCGGAGGCTGATATGCTGGGTACCACGCCGCCTCGCGCTCGTAACAGGGATAAGGAGAAAAGAAGGTAACTCGTGTATATTTAAACTACCTAAGTAAAGTGGTAGCCCAGTGATAACGCTGTAGAGTTAAGCAATGTATGTAAGCATAATATGCATATTTCATTTTAAGTTTTTGTTACGGCTTGTATATATTGCGTGGTTTTTTGTATTACGAGACAGTCGCTCGATAGCCGTGGTATTAAATAGACAATAAATATTAATTGTAATTAGACTCCAGTATCTTTTATTGCCAGCACAAACATAGTTCCTAAAACGCTCTTGCTTGAGAAAGCGTATCAAACTATGATAAATATATGAAGTACATTCTTCTAGTTGTAGAGTGTACATTATAGTCACTCACCTTAAAGTAACTACTGTGCCTACCTACTTTGCGTATTTCCTAATAAAGCGATTTTATATTAGCTACCTACTTTTTGTTCACAAAAAATGGACAAAATTACATTTTTTTAAGAGAAAAAAGGTTTGTTTATTTTTATTTTAAAGTAATTGTCCTACTCGATAGATGTCACTAGTATGCCATACAAAGTTAGTGAGTCTTTTTACATTTGACGATTTTTTTTGTCCTCTATCGACTCCCAAAGTCAATAAAACGAGTTATAAGTATGTTACTTCTATTATGAATATCTCATGTTTGTCAGTAGTTCACTGTGAGTTGTTTTTGTTTGAAATCAAATTGTAGCAGAACTGTCGTTCTGTAAAGATTAGTGTTGTGAGTGAAATGTTCCATATTATTAGAGTAAGTAATAAGTATTAGTGAGAGTAATACATATTTTATTTTTTGTTTTGACTGTATTATTCCCGACGCGATGTTTCGAGTAACAGCAAATCATTAGAGACTAAGCTTTTTGACGTGTCAAAGTGTAAATAAATATAAAAATAAAACAGAGAAAAAACGGATAAAATAGTTTATTAAAAATGTCATATATTCGCATAAACATGAGAAATTATATTAATAGTGGAGCGTCTAGTTTACGAAAAATCTTCTGTGAAGGTAATTTTTCGTCCGTCTGTCACAGGGTTGTATCTCATGAATAATAATACCTTGGTAGAGAGTTGAAATTTTTAGAGTATGTACTCGTATTTCTGTTGTTGCTATAACAAAAAACAATGAAAAGAACAATACAAGTAACATTTTTTTTAACATTCGTAATCGATCATCGGAGTTATAATACTACATAGGTACATAGAGTAAAAGTCATATTAATAAAATGTGCATTTACGATGGTATGGAACCTTTCGTGTGCGAATTCAACTCGCACTTGACTGATTTATTAAATGTGTTATCGAAAAATGTCATAGACCTTATTATCCATCGAGATTAAATGAAATGAATGATGAAAATGAATAATAAAAATGAATATCAAGAATATTTAACTCAAGCAGCTTTTTCCTTATGAGTTGCTAAGATGAATATCTATTATTTTCATTTAGTCAAGATAGATTGCTTCCCCATACAAACTTTCATCCTCATTTTCACTCCCCGATGATGATTTCCGGAATTAAAACTATCCTATGTGCTTTTCAGGGTCTCAAACTATCTTCTTACCAAATTTCATTTAAATCGGTTAAGTAGTTTCGGAGCTTATTCGGTGCAAACAAAAAAAAATCTTTCCTCTTTATAATATTAAGTAGTATAGATAGGGATTGCTCGAAATATCTTGTACATATATGCTTGTTTCGGACGACCAGAACCAGGGTATGTCTAGTACCCGGAGGTCGACCTGGGACAATCTCCCAGACGTTCTTGGCGTACACGGCAGTATGTCCGTTCGCTGGTAATGTACGCCACCACGCACCCCTGAATGCGTAGCTTGGGTCCCGATCCACTAGGGTTTCTTCGTTGACAGGAGACTATACTTAGAGGCGATGAAATAAAACACAATTTTTCCTTTTTTCTCTCTTGGTTTCGGTTCTTCCTTTTCCTTTTAGTTGTTGCCTCTTCGGTGGCTGTCTTGCGACTGACTCGAATCGAGAAATGGCTCGCCTTTTATTTGGCCCGTTAATACCTTACAGAGAGCCGCGTACTTTGAGCTCATTTTTCGAGTAAAATTTCCCTAAACCGAAACCTTGAGAGTCCTTTTATTTTATGTTTTCAGTAAAACACCTTACACATATTTATTTATTTACATGCCTTACATACTATTATACAATATTAAAACATAATATTCAATATATAATAATTAATTAAAAAAGTCTTAAAACAAAAATATCTAAATTTCTAGGTTGCTACATTTTTACTATACATTTTCCCTTATAACTTTTGAACGGATAGTCCTATCGACCTAATTCTTGTTTTATTATAAGTTTTATAATAAAATCTATTATTTAAAACATAAACTATTATGCTATTGCAAGAAACAAAAAATCTCATTTTCAAGTTACGTAATTATATGCTAACATTTTACTTACGTACCTATTCCTTTCAAATTAATGTTAAATAGTCTTATATGATTCAAATAAGCAAAAAATACTCTAAACTAACCTTATTACACTAATTAGAACTTATTTTAACATAATAAATCTAATAAGAATGAGATTTCATATTTACAACAATTATTCATAATACGCTAAAATGACATTGTCCCTATATTAATACACACGTTACTCGAAGATAGGTTTTCCGTCGCCGACATTCTCCCCCTCGTGCTTTGCACCAACTCCTGGACTCGGCGACGCTCCCGGCACCAACAGCACCACTCTCGAACTGGGCCTCCGTAGAACACCTCCTCTGGTCTCGACGTCGACGACTCTGGTCCGCCCGTCTGGTCCAGGATACACATGCAGGATTCTTCCGCGTGGCCAGATGCATCTTGGTAGGCTGTGATCGACGATCAGTACGATGTCTCCGACTTGCAAATCTGTGGCGCTGACTCTTCCTTTGGTCTTCCTTGGTAGTAGAGTGGGCAAATACTCTCTCAGCCAACGTTGCCAGAAGTGATCGGCAAGTCGCTGCGTAGCCTTCCAGGTGTGTCTGCCCACAAGCTCGTTGTCCTCGAAGCTGCCGATTCTTGCTGCGCCACATGATCGCCCGATGAGAAAGTGGTTCGGTGTAAGTGCTTCTTCTTCAGGGTTCTCGGAGAGGTGGGTGAGGGGCCGAGAGTTGACTATGTGCTCGGCCTCTAACAGGAGGGTATGAAGTACCTCCTCTCGTGGTTGCCTTTCGTTGAGCGTGGCGTCCAGTGCGGTTTTAATGGATCGCACCAGACGCTCCCATGCACCTCCCATGTTTGGTGCACCAGGAGGTATGAACTTCCACTGCACGCCGATCTTCTCCGCTTCCGAGATAAGGTCTTCTTGCTTCATGGTGTCTAGTGCTTCTTTGAGTTCTTTGTTGGCGCCAACGAAGTTAGTACCATTGTCGGTGTAGATTATCTTTGGCATTCCCCTTCTCGCGGCGAATCGTCGTAGTGCCATGATCATGCTGTCAGTGGAGAGTGAAGGAGTGAGCTCAATGTGTACAGCTCGTGTTGTTAAGCATGTGAATAGAGCACCCCATCTCTTCTCATGGCGTCTTGCTACGGTGATCGTCATAGGGCCGAAGTAATCTATTCCCGTGCACGTAAATGGAGGGTTTCCGTGCATCAGCCTCTCAGCAGGTAAGTTGCCCACTGGTAGTTCTTGAGGTCTTGCCTTTCTTGTTTTGCACCACTGGCATTGATGTTGAATGGTCTTGATCGCTGACCTCAGTCCTAGCACCCAGAAGCGTTGTCTTACTTCGTTCATTACGGTCGCGTGATTCCCGTGATTGAAGCGGCAGTGAAATTCTTCTATGATGAGAAGTGTTGTCTTGTCCTTGCTGTCGAGTACGATGGGTCGTTTGTAGTCTCTGGTAACCCCTCGTATCGCGTCGATTCTTCCTTTCAGTCGCAGGAGACCTTCTTCTAGCACTACGTCGAGCCTTTTCAACTTGCTGCTGCCCTCTAATTGTTTTCCTTGCTGTAGGTACCTGATGTCCTCTTTGAAGCATTTTTCTTGACTTCTTCTTAACAACAGCGTTTCAGCTTGCTCTAGTAGACTTGTTTCCAATGGTATGTATTTCCTTTCTGACGTTTTTGAAGACAGATGTCGCTTCTCAACAATTTTCTTATTCCTTTTTGTAGTTTTCCAGGTAGGATCTTCTTTGCTGGCGTGGACCTTTTCCTTTCTTCTGCAGAGTTGTATGAACTGCAGTACTCTTGCTGTAGCTCGCCAAAGTCTTTTCCACGACGAGAACTTTTCGGGATCTGGTGATGGATAGGAGCTGCCTGCAGTCGCTACGATGTCCGCTGCCTTTTCTTCGCCAGTGGTTTCTTTCTTGAATGTTCTTGCCGCAGGCCAGTGAACTTCATCTCTTCTTAGAAACCCTGGTCCGGTGTACCATCGGTGTTGGCAGTCGAAGTGTTCTGGTACGTCACGTGTTGCATCATCTGCAGGGTTCTGCGCCGTCGGTACCCATCTCCAGTCCTGTGGTTTTGTGAGATCTTCTATCTCCGCCAAGCGATGAGCCACGAATGTCTTGAAGGTTCTCGGGTCCGTCTTGATCCATGATAGCACGATACTGGAGTCTGTCCAAAACGTCTTCTTTTCTATTTTCAGATCCATTTCTTCCTCGACCGAGTGTGCCAATCTGCTTCCTAGGAGGGCCGCTTGCAGCTCGAGTCTCGGTATTGACACCGGCTTCAACGGAGCGACTCTTACTTTTGCTGCTACTAAGCTGACGTCATAAGTCCCATTTTGATTTTCAGTTCTCCAATATACCGTAGCTGCATACGCCATTTCGCTTGCATCCGTGAACGTGTGCAGCTCCCCCTCGGTGCGACGTGGTGCCAGACATCTCGGGATCTGAAGGTCTTGGAGCAGCTTCATCTTCTCCAGGTAAGTCTTCCATGACTCGTACTCCTTTTCTTCTATCTCTTCATCCCAACCGACGCCACTTCGCCATATGTTCTGGAGCAGCCTTTTGCCTTGGATGAGAATTGGTGATGCTAGCCCTAGTGGATCGAAGGTCGACATCACGGCGCTGGTG